GAGGAGGGGGGGGGGGGGGGAGGTAAAGAAAAGAAAGTAATTAAGAAATTATATACACAATAAAAATTTCACATCCAAATCAAATCTAATTTTAATCAAAATCAAAGAGACATTACACTTAAACTTCAAAAACCGTACATGAACAAACCGCATAATTCTATTTATAACCAGCTTTTATAAACTCTTAACCTAATGAACACAACGGTGTTGCAAACACGTCTTAACACTAACGAACACAACAGTGTTCTTAACACCTAATACAATACCAATACAATGAACAAATTAACTAAATTATCGCGCTTACAAATCTAACAGACATACAGCACGCGTCGCCCGGAAGATGACCGCCATGACGACGAACCTAGTTAACCTACTTAAACTAAAAGAGAAAGCCGCCCGGCGAGGGATCGCCTGGACGGTACTCTACCTGAACAATTTACGACGCTTACCGTAATTAGGGCTGGTAGCAGGTGCGCGTACGCCTTGCTGACCCTTACCAAATTACACGCTGTGCCATACCGCTGAAGAGAAGGAGAGAGAGAGAGAGAGAGGAATTAGATTACGAGCCTTGACCTTCGATGCAGGAACGGGAAGCCTGGCTGCGCCCTGCGGATGGTGTTACTGGCCGTCGCTGGGCAACTCCTGTCGGCTTCTCCGGGTAGCGTCCCAAGCAGATGCTGGAATAAGGCATTCGTCCTCTTTTCTTCTCCGTTCTTCTCGGCTCCTTGGCGGCGTGTGCGTTCGGCTGACCTTTTGATCTCAACTGCACTTTTGACTCTGTACCGCGAACCGACTGAACTGTCTTAACTGCAGATCGACTAGCTACCGTCTGTACTTCCGATCGAGTCGAAACCTTCTTGACTGCTGATTGACTCACTACCGTCTGTGTTGCTCGTTTTCTTCCACGATCGACAGCTTCTTCCTCGTTCTTTCGCTCCCCACTTGACCTTATTAGGCGGCGCGCGACCAATGCGCTAATTGGTTCGCGACGCGCGACCAATGCGCTAATTGGTTCGCGACGCGCGCCTGCATAATCCTGCGTGGGGCACGCACGCCCCTAACTCTCTCTCTCTCTCTCTCTCTCTCTATACTCTGTCGTCCACTTGACGATTTCGGGCCGGCTCGGCCTCGCTCAGCAATCGCCGTAGGCTAAAACAAAGACCAAGCATTAGGCACATTCTTAAATGCGCCTAACGCTGGTCACCGAGCCATGCTGAGAGAGAGAGAGGGAATTAGGGAAATTACCGACAAGAACAAGCGCATCGCTTGCTCTCGTCACATGGTAAAACCTACATAGGGATAAAACTAATGGTACCAATCGATTTAGCGGCTCAAAATACATAAGAATACATAATTTTAATAATGGAGTTTCGAAATTTTTACTGGTATTTAGTAGGCTAAACGTTTTAACCTGTTTTTCTCACTTAAAATACATAGGAAATTCGACGTGCTTTCAGGCACGTGTTAAATGAGTCTTAAAGTCAATTCCTATTTCCTCAAAGTTTTTGTATGATATACGAGGTCTGTTCAAAAAGTATCGCAAATTTTGAATTTCCGCGGTCTACGTAAATTTAATTTTTGATTTTTTTGTAGCGTTATGTTGGCAATCATGTCCCTTACTTATGCTGACAAGGTCGGCCATTTTGAATTTTTGACAGCTGTTTTACTTGCATATGTTTTGGCTCGTCTTCGATTTTTGCCTATTCTAAAAAATGGATCAAAGAATCTATATCAAATTTTGTGTGAAAGACAAAATAAAGTGCGCGGACGCATTCCGAATGTTGACTGTGGTATGTGGTGAAGCTACCTTGGACCAAAATAACGTTTATCGGTTATACAAAATGTTCTCAGAGGGCCGAGAAGAAAAAAATAGTATTGGCCAATCGTCGAATCACCGTTAGAAAAGTTTCTGAGGATCTAAACATATGGGTTGGCTTATGCCATTCAATTTTAACCAATGATTTGGACATGAGTCGGGTTGCCGTGAAATTCGTGCCAAAACTGCTCAATTTCGACAAAAACAGCATCGCGTTAACAGAAGATGTTGGACTCGGTCCGTGACGACCCAAATGTGCTCTAGAGAATCATAACTGGTGATTATGATGTGGAAACCAAAGCTCAATCATCCCAATGTAAGTTGCCGCATGAGCCAAGACCGAAAAAAGCGCACCAAGTTCGGTCGAACGTGAAGGTTTTGCTCACAGTTTTATTCGATTACAGGGGCGTGGTGTATCATGAGTTCTTGCCACAGGATAGTACAATCATTAAGGACTATTAACTGTAAGTTATGCGCAATTTGCGCGAAGCAATCCGCCAGAATCGTCCGGATTTGTAGAAGAACAAAACCTGACTTTTGCACCACGATAACGCCCTTGATCACACATCGTAGCTTGTGTGCGAATATTTGGCCAAAAACAATACAGTATAACGGCCGGGGCCGTTTTCGCGGAAAGTTGCCCGCGCACGAGGCCGAGCACGGCCAAGCGGGCAAGCGAGCGCGAAGCGAAGCAGAGAGAGAGACAGAGCGAGACTCGATGAGGCGCGTGCCGCGGCGGTAGAGTGGGGAGAAGAGACGATTTTCGGGCACTGATACCTGGGAGCTCGAGCTGTTGTCACGTGCGCGCGCAAAGAAAAGGAAAGCGATCAGGAAAAAAAAAAGTGTAAGTGCGCGAGAAAGTTTGACGCTATCCCCGAGGATCGCCAGAGCCCGTGGACCGTCATCTCCGGTGGGCGATTCGAGGAGCAGAGCTTGTCCGCCCGAGCAAGGGCGATAGCGAGGGCGATTAGCGAGAAGGAGTAGTCTGTCTGCAGCAGCTACTTCCCGGTGAGTTTCTTTGCGTTCGTAAGCGATTACCTAGCGTGCGTTAGTTGCGCGAGCGAGCGTCTCTCTCTCTCTCTAAAATAGTACTCGAAGCGAAATCTCGGCATGCGGTATTGTGTAAAAAAGAATCTGATTAAGTAAATAAAGCGCAGTTTGACCTGCTCAAGTGTTGCCATTGTGTTGGGCGTACCCAGGAAGGCACCTTTGTCCCTTCCCACGCCCGTGGTTAAAATCCACGCACGCTCCTTTTCAGGGCAGCACGTGTCCGCCCGTACGCGGCGGAACACCAGGAAGCGCCTAGCTGATCGTGGCGGCGGTAAGCCTCGCACCGAGCAGCGAAGATAAATTTTTTGACAGGTCGCGAGAATAATTTAATTATTTTCCGGACCGTTACAACAGTAATGGTGCCGCAGCCACCGTATTCCCCAGACCTGGTCTCCTGTGACTCTTTCCTGTTCCCAACACTGAAGAGGCCTATGAAAGGATCATCCCAATATATATGATCCATATTAATGTTGTGTTTAGTGCAACCTTATATTTAGGTAAAGATGCACCAATTTTCAACTCCTTCTCTCCTATCTTAGGTTTCTCAGTCTTATTAAATAATAGACCAATGATGTTATTAAATTTGTGGCTATTATGTGCTCGTATAGGCTTATCTGGATTCATTCTGTTTCTATAAATTCTATTATTTAAAATTTTTCGATATCTTTCGAGATCATCTTACGTTATTAGACTTCTATCAGGCTGCTTTATCACAAGTAACTCCATTAAATTTTTACTTTTTTTGGATATTTGAAATCATCAATTCTCACGTTATTCAAAAGTTACTGGAGATACCAAGCACATAAGCTCCATTTATCTCTTTGCAAACGTCATAAATTAAATCCAAAAACTAAAGTTACTTTTATCCAAAGCATTTATATATTTATCGATTTATACATTTATATATTTTAGTTTAATTCCTTGTAGTGTCTGTTCATTTTTTTAAAATCTCTTAGCTAATTCTGCATTGTGTGTGTGTGTGTGCGTGTGCGCGCGTGTGTGTGTGTGTGTGTGTGTAAACCATAAATAAATTTTAATATGTATTTAAAACGCATTTCAGATAGAGAGGGATGGTGGGAGCTCTCGCGTGTGATTTAAAACTGCTGATCTGATAGCTCATGCACCTTAGATCACTGATCTGAGGCCCGTACTGATCTGAGGCTCCCCTGATCTGTGGCCTCTCTAGTTAACTTACTGCTTTTAGTAATGCTTATTAAAATATTGGTATGCGCCTTTTTCACATAACTGGTTTTAAATTGGCTGCAGTAATTCAACCTATAAAATTCGTTTTATCTAAGTAAATGAAATTTACTTAGATGAAATTTCATTCACTGATTAGAAGCCTTCAACTGAAATAAAATTTTCTTATTTATTTGAATTTGATTATTAAAATCTTATATTTACGTATTTTTAATTTTTATATTTGATTTTTTAAATCAATTAAAGATTTAACTTTAATCTTCCCAAATCAGAAGAAGTTGGATAATACGAAGTGAACGAATTCTTACTTCCGTAGAAAAATGTATCCTATAGATATAGAGGGTCCAAACTGCTCAAAACAACATACATAATTATGTTACGTTATATTATGATATAATTTATTAGGGGAAAAATAGAAATATGAAATTTCTTCAATAAAGTATGAAATATATCAATATAAACATAAAAAATTCTATATAGTAAATATTCAAATAAATGATGATAGCGATTTTCCATCAAACAGCAGCTTTATTAAATAAATTTATGAAAAACATTATTGAATAGTATGTACAATAGTTCGAACCGTTTGAACATATAACCTCCAACCTTCAGGCGAAGAGTAAGCGATATGACTAAACTTACAGCTCAATATTGTATGCCTGATTCTAATTACGACATTTACTTTTCGTCTGAAGGCGAAAATTCTTTCCTTTCTTCAATATATAAAATTATATAATGAAATGCCTGAAACTATTGCACATACTAGTTAATAAAGCTATACGATTTAATGAAAAGTCTTTAGTATCATTTATTTTAATTGAAATCCTCGTTCATAATTAGTTAATAATTAGTTTAATTGAAGTCCTCGTTCATCGTACAATTATTTTATAGTAAAAATTTATTGAGTATTCTTACACTTTTAATATTTTTACAGAAAAAAAATGCTCCAGAATTTTTACGTTTACTAATTCAAATGGGACGTTTGGATGAAGCTGCTTATTTTTCTATAAAATATATTCAAGCAATACTTGGAAAAGGAAAAGCATACTTTGGATTAGAATCATCATTATCAGTAACTACTTTTTCTACGTTTTTCCCATTTAATTACATCGAGATTCTTTTACTCGAACTCGAATATGCTAGTAGAACTGAAAATTCTTATATAATGGTGAGTGATTAAAATAATAACAATGAGAGAAAAAAATATATATATATGTATAATTCTTTATCCAATTTTAGGTTCGTGAACAATTGAAAAATGAATATGATATTTATTTAAAATCAGTGAAGCACATATCAATGAATATGGTGTTAATGAAGAAAAATGCGTAGAAATTCTTTTAATGAATTATACAGAAGAGTGAAGAAAAAATGCAATATTTAAAATACGAAAATTAAACATTGCTATGCATAATTCGAGTAATAATTTCTAGAAATTCTAGAAATAAAACAATTTATCATTTTGACATTACTTTACTATGTTGTCGAATCTTTATTATTAAAAAATCACATTTTATGATTCCTTATAATAGTTATAAAATTGGACAATGTATTTCATACTATAACATGAAATTAAATGAAACGTATCTATTAACTCAAAATAAATGAACTATATTTTTGAGAACAACGATTTTGATTTCTTATAGATCAAGCTTTGTTTTATTGAAAAATATAGTTTTATAAAAATCACTTAGAAACATATTTTAAGATTAAATAGGAAATGTCTGTATATGCCCTGCTAAAAAAGTTCCATTCATTCCTATTCGGGATCATTCATATTCAATGGTAATCAATGAACTGAATGGTTCAATGTTCCGATGACGATTGAAACTGAATGATTTTCAATAATACTTCATGGTAAGCATAACTAATAGTAAAACTTACCATTAAATTTAATAGAATTCAATCTTTCTGAATAATACTTTGTATAGGAATGGTTTCAATGATAATCTATCCAATTGCATTGAATGAATATCAATCACAGTTCAATAAAATAATTAATCAATGATATTTTATTGTATATCTTTCTATGAATTTTAATAATTTTTCGATACAATAATTGTCCAATCATATTTTATTGAATCATATTATATGGATATTAATTTTTATCCAATTACACGGTTGGTCAATAATATTTTATAGAATGGTTTTCCATATATGCCAATATGAGCAAAAGCAATACTGTAACTTTAGCAATATTTCATTTAATAGTTTTTTTTTTAATCTTAATGATTGGTCAATATAAAAATAACCCAATCGCATTCAATGAGGTATAGTATTCTATAATTTCTTATGAAAGGCAAACAAAAAAATTTCAAATATTTTCAATTGAATATTTTTTAATGAAATCTAATGATTGGTAAATGCAAGTAAAACTCAATCGTATTCTATTAAGAAGTTGTTTGTATAGTTTTGAATAATCCTTCATTCTACAAACTTATCAAATATAATTTTATTCTATAATTTTTCATTAGATGATGAAAGAAAAAATTTCCATAATTGAATGATTTTTTATAAATTTGAATAGTTGTTCGATACTATAATTGAAGAATCGTATCTTATGCTTTGGATATTATAATTTTATATAGGTCATGAATGAAAAAACTCCGTATATGATTTGATTGAATAGACTTTTATCAATTTTAATAGTTTTTAAGTAAAAACATATTCGAATATAATTTTTAATGGGTATTCGATTTTTTTTCAATTGTAAATAAATGGTTTTTTATGTACATCAACAAATTACAAAAATTGACATGAACATTATTATTGGATTTCAAATGAATTGGGCATTTTGCATAAATATCTAGCATTTCTAACGTCTACCAAAATTATTTTGCAATCTATTTCACCAATGGGTTTGATGAGATCAATCTCGTTTTCGCTTTGAATTTTTCGGATATGAGTCACTCCTTCAAATGGATATTCTGGAAATACGTTGTACGTTTGTACAACAATGTATGAATCGTCGTCATGTTCGAGAATTTTTGTTATTCTAGCGTATTGTCCACTAGTAAGTCTAACGACAGTATCATCATTGCGATAAAAGACCATTAATACCCATTCAATTAAATTGATATTTTCTATTGCATATTATTGAAATGTTAGGACTTTCATATTCAAAACTATTGAAAATTATTCAACGATACGAGACTTGAATGTTGCAATAACAAACCATTGATATCAATTCAATCAAATTGATTATCGCATTCGAATGGTTTCAAATCTTCGATTTGACCACGAATTTTACCATTGAAATCGATTGGGTAACATACATGAGAAATTTCATTGAATCCTATTGAAAACCATTACTTTAATAGTATATTTTTCTATTGATAATGATTAATCTCGATTAGGAATCAATAGTAATCTATATTATTGGAACCAATAGTATTTAATATCTTGACATTTCTTGTTGGATGAGGAATCATATTCAATGGTCATTTGGAGTGTTCAGATCGAAGATTGAAAACCATTCAGAAATTCTTCAATGGTTTTCAATGGAACTTTTATAGCAGGGTGTCTGTGTGAAGATGTGCATTGTACGTATACATTTTTTCCGGGCTCAAAAATCAAAATCTTAAGAGAACTCAAAGAAAGGTGTTTCCGTAGAGAGTGTGGCGATATTTACCCAATAAACTCCCCCCCCCCCCCACCTCTCTTTAACTTGCTCTTTCGACTTCTAGCACCCATTAGCGTTCCTTTTCAGTATTCTTCGATGGAGCTTATTTTGATCCAGTAGGATCCCTCTTCATTCCTATCAGTCTTGAACTTTCTTCAATCTTGTCTTCTCATTTCTCAAACCAATCAAAGAGCGCTATTAGCCAGTGTCATTCAAAGTCAAGCAGAAAATGATCACAATTGTAACGAAAATGCTAAAGGATTGTATAATGCAGCGTGCAACTAGCGGCCGGTTAAACTCTATCGTTATGATGCAGAAGAAAAACCAATCTTATCGCCTCTATATCGGTTTCCATGCTTTAAATAAAGTCAATGAGCCAAGTGTTTGTATCTTGCTTTTCATACAAGACATATTACGAAGGCTAAACGACGCGAATCATATCTCCGTGATCGATCTCAACAGCGCGTACCATCAGATCAAGCTCGCGCCAGCAGCGCACTCACTAACAGTATTCACCGTGACTCGACCACTTTCAATTCGTGTGCACGTCTTTCGGGCTAGCATAAGCATGAGCGACCTGCCAAGGACTGATGAATCGAGTAATTAAACCCGAATTAAGTCTATTAGCTTTCGCATACCTTGATGACATCATTGTAGTATCATCCACTTTTGACGAACACCTCCAAAAACTAAAGCTCGTGTTCATACGGATACGCGAGGCGGGATTAACCATCAATCTAAACAATTGCGGATTTCGTAAGCCAGAAGTCCGCCACCTCGGCTTCATTGTCGACCGTGATGGTTTACGACCAGATTCAGAGCGTATCCGCGCAATAACTAATCTTATGATGATCTTAGCACCGTACCTATGCCCGCTAAACCCCAACGGAGAATACACACTTGAAACTGACGCCAGCGCCACAGGTTTAGGTGTAGTATTACTACAGCAAGTGGAAAGCCGCGCGTGATCTAGTACGCGAGTCGCGTATTAATAAAAGCAGAACAGAATTATTTGACGACGGAGCGCGAAGCCTTCGCCGTAGTTGAAGCATCTGGAAATTTCGGCACTACCTCGAAGCGTACAAATTTTGCTTAGTGACAGACCACTACAACTTAAAATGGTTCATGACGTAGAAGGACCCGACTAACCGCCTCGCCCATAGGACGTTAGACCTCCAAGGTTACACCTTCGAGATAACATTCAGAAGCGGCAAGAACAACCAAGTGTCAAACGCTTTATCGCGTGTCTTTGAAAGGGGGAGGGCGTTAGAGTATACTCTCGTCGCAATGTTGTCGCACGCCTATGAGGCAAGCAAGGACAAGACGACCAAACACTCCCTCTCCTGGGAAGTCGACACAGTCTACACGTGGTAAGGCGAGAAAACACGCGAAGTATCCAAAAATCCCGAAAATTTTTCCAGATAGAAAACATGAAGAGGGGTTTTCTATACTTATCGCCCCGATGACGATCTACTTGGCGTAATAAAAGATGAAGATGCCTGGAAACTCGTGGGCCACCCCGGGCGTGAGAAAACATACCACAGGCTTAGTCGTGCCTACTCCTGGTTTAAAATGTACGCTGATGTACGCGACTACGTCAGGAACTGCGAGATATGCCAACAGTGCAAAGTAGAGGAACAACCGCCTTTCGGCACTATACGACCGCGCGAACTTGAGAAACCCTGGCAGACAATGGCGGGCGATATGGTCAGACCCGTTCCTCGAAGCTTTAGGGGTTTCGAATATATCCTGGTCCACGTAGACCTATTCACCCGATGGGTAGAGAGTGTACCGCTCAGGCAAGCAAGCGGTAGAGACATCACAAATGCACCACACGAGCGCATAGTCATGTACTTTGGAGCACCTTAAGCATTCTTATCAACAGCAACTTACAATCAGCCGGGATTGGCCACTCATCCACGCCAATATACTATTCGCAAGCTAACCCAACGGAGCGCGTAATACGCACCCTTAAGACGATGATCAAGGCCTTTCTCCGTGAGGCTTACATGAAGGAACTACGACGAGCTTCTACCCGAGTTCACCTTTACCTTAAACACCGTGGTACTAAGTAGGATGGAGCTGAGTCTCACATTTCTAAATTCAGCCACCAGCACAATCCACCAGATTATATCTAATTAGCAATTGACTAAGCCGCCGTCGAGTAGGGCGACACTGACGCTGTGTCCGACTGGTCGGAGTGCATGACGAGTAAGTCAGCCCTTACTCAATGGGTGAGAGAGAAGCCTGAAATAAAGATGAGCGCCAGTTGCATGCCCACAATGTGAAGCACCGGCTAGCCATTTTCAAAATCGGCAACTTGGTGTTGAAGCGGATATTTTCGAACATGGCGCTAGGGATAGCAGCGGGGTTAACTCTAGAATATGCCGGCCTGTGTATAGTCAGCGAAGTGGCTCAATACAACTTCTACCGTATAAGCAATCAATAAAAGAAATTAACAGAACCGATCCACGCCTAGGATCTTTAACGACGAAAAATGCCATTTTCTGAGTATGTTTTTCATCGCAAAATTCATTCGAAAAATGGAACAAAAAATTTATCTGAGGTATCGTTCCTTATGTATTTGGGCGTGCTAAATCCAAATCTGTGCTCACAATTGGAAATTTTTGTTTACAAAAAAAAAATATTGCGATTTTTTTATAAAAAAAATAGTGAAATATTGAAATTCTTTTTTTTTCGTGAATTTTTTTTACCCTTAAAGCATCAAAATCGAAAATCTTTCTTCAACCATGGATGCGCAAAATATTTGAACTTTAACAGAAAATTTTTATATTTGAGCTTTTTTTTTAAAATGGCGGATAAAATGGCGAAATATGAAAAAGAAATACTTTTCTCGTTACTATTTTTTTTTCCAAAACAACGAGGTTTAGGAAAAAGTTTTATAGAACAAAAATGTCTTATAATTCGTCAAAGAATACTCTTAAATTCTTTTCAGAGTTTTTGGAGAAAATTGTTGAT